TACAGGTGAGTATTTAATATGGTAACTTTTTTTGTATCAGAATTACACAGTTTAAAAAAAAACCAAGGCATTGTGATCTGTCAGGTATTCATGTATGTATGCACATATATGCACAAGTTTTAATTCTTATCCCTCAATTTTGCATTTGAGAAAAGTGTCAGGAGGAATTTTTGACATTCCTAGAATGTGGCCACATTCTGAAAAGCTGTGTGCTTTGTATTTTCCAATTAAGACTGAAATCAGACATGTAATCCACCTGCCAGCAAGGAACTGAAACTTGAAAAATCAAGGGTTTGTTGTTTTTGCAATTGTCCTTCTATGTCATTCTGTGTGGCTCCAATTCATCTAGACTGACAAAAAAACTCAAACCAAAGAGGAATACCAGTGTCAAATAGATAGCGGAATACATTATCAGTTGAGTTTGAGAGAACTCAATTTAAAATTAAAACACTCAAATTTGAGCTGTAGATGAACTTTGACTATAGAATACCTTGGCCCACCAAAAAGAGGAATACACAACATTCTCTACAGTCTTGGAAAGTTCATGATGCTCCTTGCCCCTTCAGAAAAGCATAGGGCCTACAGTAATATCCTATGTCTTCAGACACATACTAAGAAATTTGGTAATTAAAGAAAAAAGTTTGACTTATTATTGTTGCAGTTTGCTACTTAGTTTGCCACCTGACACACTACAAACAGGACACATTTGGCGTCTGTTCCTGCATTTCTGATGTACTCCAAACTTCCAAGTCCATCCAAATGTGGTATACCTGGTGACTGCAGCATCAGGCCCCCACTTACTTCCTCATTATTCAGTGAAATCTTACCTAGAGGTTTAGTTATAGCGCTAGAAATATTACCCCCACTCCACCCCCCTTTTTTTTTACCTCATCTGCAGGATGTCAGGAATTTGCATAGACCATTCTTTGAGAAGAAATACTAAAGAAATTTAAAATGTCTGTATGTCCAAAAGTACAAAATAAAAGGATCTCGTCATTTGAAGGCTGAAAGGTTTAATATTCAGACTAATATTTTTCTTCTACAGCTAAGGCATCAGATTTCTAATCTGTCAACAGTCTTTTTTTACAAAAAAAAAAGAGATGTGTGCATATTTCTATTCATTTTTAATTATATTTTATAAATTATGATCTGTATATTGTTACCTCTGAACTGCAAATATGTAGAACATACAAACAAATATAGAAAAGAGTGAGGCCCTGTTCCCAGAAAAGGCAGTAGAAGGAGAGCCATAAACTTCTATGGGAGAATTACTAGGCTTCAAATTAAGTTTGAGCTAAAGGAAGAATTGTGTGGCACCAGGTGAAGCCAGGTACAAAAGAAATGTAATTAGATTACAAAATGTTAACCTATGCTAGAAAAAAATTTTAAATCTCCAGATTTTACAAGCATTATTTTTTTCAGATTTGAATAGCTCAAAAGGAAGCAAACAAAAAAAGATATGTTTGCAATCTCAACAGTATCTTAGGTTGAACAGAGAATGCAGGATAGGGCTCAGAATATTTATACTGAACAATAATAAATTGTCTGTGCTGGGAAATTCAGCTTGAACTACAGCTGGAAAGGTTTCTTTCCTCTTTTTTTTTTTTTCCCTAACTGATCTGGTTCAGCCAGGCCATAGCTGTAATTACCTTCTTCCCATCTACAGCTAATACCTCAGAGCAATAAAAAAATATGAGGGTGTTAAAAATTCAAACGCTAATTATGGGCTGTTATATTTACTAAACACAGCAGAGTAAGAACAAAAGTTTCGGCTTCTTGTGGCCAGTGCTGCACTATTTGATCTACCAAGTCCCTGGACCCTTTACACTTACTGTATTACATAACAGTTAATAGCGCACTAAAATTAAATTCGATAAACAGATTTATTACCAAACACGTATAGCGCAACCACTTACAGCTGTCTCCTTTTTCCAACACAGGTATGGCTGTGAAGAGTTCATTCCTTTGTTGATTTGGTTTTGGTTTCCAATTAAGTTATATACATAGTAAAGCAGTAGGTTTTGTAAAGGGAAGTATGCCCTGAGTACTCCATTTAAAGTCTTATGGCAAATATTGGCTAATCCTACAATTCTTGCTCTTACTTTCCCTTATGCCTGTTCTCAGCTCTAGAAAAAGAATAAAACTGAGAGCTGCCTTAGTTCCTAGTTCAGCATTCCCACTGTCACCGCTCCCACCCCTCACATCCACATTAAACACACAGAGTATAGCTTTATACCACTTAGTAAGAATAGAGGTGTATGGATTTTTGGGGTGTCAAACACCTGTCACAAACTGTCACCTCCACAAGAGAAGCCTTGGCACACAACAAATTAACCTACACTTCTTTTTGGCTATCATTATTCATAGCCAATCAGTTGAAATGCTCCTAGTATTTCATGTGCAAATAAAATCTTGAGGGGAAGACCCCAGGATCAGAATAGTGAGCCAATACATAAAACAGAGGAAACAACATGCTATCTCTGTCCTTCTGAAGTGGCTCATCATCACCCCTGCACCAACTTTCACCAAATGAGATCTAGCCTGAGGCTGTATATTAAATATGCATATCAAAGCAAATGAAAAAATAAACCTGGAGAGTCAGATTGGATAAATTTGCATGCTTGAACTACTGCATTTTCAGGTAGATGTTCACAAATGATAGCTCATTTTTTGATAGTCTTGCCTGTTTATATTAGCAATTTTTTAAAGCTTTTTCTTCCTTATGAATAAAAGCAGATTTCTTCCTGCTGGAACCTTGTGCAGTACAAATATAAATGTGTACACACATGGTAGTTTGACTAACCTATAGAGGAGTCTTAAAAGTTTTGTTGGGAAAATAAGCTTATATATATATATATATATACACATATACATATATATACATATATATATATATATAAACCCAATAAGGAGACACATTTCCCAAAACGCATGAATAAAATGTAACTATGTGATACAACTCTTCATTTCCCAGTTGGTGTTCTGGTTGCACAAATTATTCCTTCCTTTCAAAACAAATAGCAGGGGGCTAAAGTAAAAACGTTATAGCTCAAATCTCCAGGAAATAAAAGGCTTTAAATTATAATACCCAATGAAGTGGTAAACCCTAACGGGTACAAGATAAATGGGTTGTCATATTTATTTGAGCTTGGGCTTTGGGCCACAAAAGCAAGAGGAGATTCTTCTTAAGGAAGATAATAGTTATCAAATCATCAAAACGCTAACCCCCTCCACCTCTGTCCTATCATTGTGTGTGAATTTAAATATTATAATGGAGCACTGCAAATTGGCTTGAGCATTCACCATCTGCCAGAACCCTAAACGGGCTAGTTTATCTAATCTCTTCAATATAAACATAAGCATGCTCCATTTCTACACTTACACTTGAAACACACTCTTGTAAAGAAACTGCACTGGAGAAACATGTACTTTTTTTTCTGTTGCTCTGAATAATACACAATGACCCCCTATCTTTCAGGTTGCCACTCATTTCAATTTCTTTTCTAGTACTCTCACAGAATACTTATGCATAAAAATGTAGGGTTGTAAAATGCCATAAAACAAATATTTCTGAAAGTGTCATGCCTCATGGAGTTTATTATCTACATGTGAGATAGCTAATAAGCAGAGAAACTTTCAGAAACTTCTGCATACTTTTTTTTTTTCCCTCATAATAATAAATTTAAAACGTAAAACATCACAAAAACCTTGTCCTGCCATGTTTACTGAGTACAAATGAGAAAATGAAAGCTAAGGCCTGGGTCCAAAAGTATTTCCTGGACTCTGTAACTATGCTGTGCCAGGAGCAGGGCATATAGAAGAATTTATTATTATCTCCCAGTTCAGCCTCAGTCCAGGACTAATGTAATTATCAGATACACACACAAACAACATGTTTCCAAAGGAAACAAAAGCTCCTGGAAAGCTCATTCTCTCCTTGGGCTCACAGCTACTCCTAACACACTGGGAAATGAAGGCAGGCATCTGTGCAGAAAGCATGGTTAACTTCATACTGGGTGTTAAATTAATATTTCAACCACTAAAATATTAGACTGTATCATTTAGATTATGAGTTCAATTGAATCTAAAACTGTGTAAACCCCTTTTCCCCCCAGGGATGCATTCCTATAAATAAACTAGAGTTCACACCCACTCTTTTTAACCAAAGCTATTCCTTCCCTTTTCTGTGGTACCAGCTGTAACCTTTCCTTTCACATCCCGAAGACTCTCTGCATCTACATCTCTTGAAGGATCACAAAAGCCTCTCCGAAACCCCGAAAAAAAAAGGCACTTTCTATACCGCTCACACCAGTGTGCAGTCTACACACATAACACTAATTCACCAACTCCTAAAGTGTTAAAATCAACCGCTAACCTATGGTTACTCAATCATCATTCTCTCCAGCTTTCTGTAATACATTGTTAATAATTGCTTCATCAAGGTTACTGTCTTTTATTATGAAGATGCTTCAGGCGTTTGGCAATAAGTCCATATTCTGACAATAAGTTGCTATAAAGCACAAGCATTGGAAACTCTAATGTGCTAACCCCCTTTTTTAATGCAATGTAGTATTGCCAATAATTCTCATCACTTGTCATCCCCACAAGAGGGGAGGGGGGGAGCAACCGGCAAACTTTCTCCCTAACTTTCTTTTCTCTTTTTCCTTACATTGCTGCACTGCTTACAGAGTTGGCAAAGAGGAGAAAGCATCGACCTCCACACCAAACCGCAGTTTGCTACCTCCCGAAGCCAGATCAGGAAACTTTACAAACCATTGCAAACTCGCTGCTTTGCAGATGGAAACAGAAGGAACCCTTTGCACTTCTATAACCTTACAGAGAGGGAAGGAAGTGTAAAGATGGGATCCCAGCTTGCAAGAGGTTAAAGCGGTAATAACAATACTACTAACAGACAACAGCAGCAAAACAATGGAATGGGGAGAGGTTCTCTGAGCAGGTTAAAGTCTTTAAAATGCCATAAGGAAATCAGAAGGACTTACATGGTCGGCTAAATTTGTGGAAGATCCTGAGAGTTCTTCGTGGTCTGATTTGGAGCTGCCATCCCTTTCATCAATAACGAGGTCTATTGGCATTTTTCCTTTCAAACAACTAATGTACCGATGGCAGAAGTTATCGCACAATTCATGAACCTGAAAACAGTAACAAGAATAGTATCAATAGTGGCAAAATATTGGATTGCAACATTTTTCTTTTTTTTTTTTTTTTTTTTGTTAGCAAGAACAACCTTCTGATCTACTCTACAAATAACTCTAAGGGGCACAATAGTTGAAGGCAAGGAAACAATAGAGAAATTGTTGCAGCATATATTATTCTCTAGAGACTTGCCGCGGCAACAAGTTAAAGAGAAAGAGATAGTGGGCTCAGCCTGGTGTGCAGAGGAAAATCCGACTTGATGATAACATCAGAGCGCTGGGAGCTGGACACAGGCGGTATCTCTGGAGCTTACACAGCCCAGACAGGTACAACTAGTCACTCGGGATGGGATCTCTAAACCGGGGGTAAAAAAAGGTCTGAGTGACCGGGAGCCCGAGAGCGAAGCGACTCGCTGAGGCTGTGAGAAGGAGGGAAGAGGAGAGGAAGAGCCGTTCTCGTTCCCTGGCACAGCCCCCTCCCCGCGCCGCGCAGGGGCCCCCTGCCTCTACCAAACACTTAGCGCCTGCTTGGGGTTCCTACGCCGGCCGGAGCTGGGGAAAGGCAGCAGTGCTTTCACCTCTCTTTTTGTTAAACACGTTGTTTCCGAGTAGGTAAAAGAGATTCTACTGAGGGAAGGGGTAGGACGGGTGGAAAGGGTTTAATAATATTATATATTAAAATCGCACTGAAAAAAAAAAAAAAAAAAGCCAGGCTGTGCATGACTGTCGGGTGTCACATGCTCTGATGGCACAGGTCACACCGCGTTTCCCGTCTCCCCTGGCCATGTTTACAAGTCAGCCCAAACAGTCACGGGTGGGCTGGGGGGGCAAAGAGAGGGATGACAGGGAGAGAACGGCTTGCCCCCAGCCCACCTCCATGGCTCTTACCTTTTCTAATTCCAAGAGGTGAAACCTTAGTACTTGTATTGCTTGGATCATCTGCAAGAAAGTTTTGAGCAAGGGGTTAGTTGGGAGACAGGAGCACGGGGTCTGTGAGGAGCTACGAGCCCGAGGGGGACAGGGGGTGTCAGGGCGCACAGGCATCACCCAGGAGTTTAGCGCATTGGTCGCGCTTGAGCAGTTTTGATCAACTTTAACCTATGCACTTGATTTTTAACATATTTTTTTCCAGAAGCGGTGATTAGTGCTTTATTACAGCGATCCTGGAGAAAACCTCTTCCCCTTTTCCTCGCTCCCTCTCACCGCCCGGCCCTCACCCCTGAGGGGCCGCCAAGAAGTCAAACACACTCTCCCACCCCCCCTCCCCGGCCCGCAGGAAAAAGGGAGGGAGAAGGATGAATAGTTTGGCATCTTCTTTACAAGCGGATTTAGACACTTTGAATATTGAAATCGTTTACATTAGCAAAAGAATTGCGTTAGAAAGCTCCAGCTCTGTCTTCTTAAGCAGTTATTTCCTTCAGTTTAGCTTCCCGTGGCTTTCAAACACAGCTTTGCAATGCATTGGGGCTCGGGAGTTCGCCCCGGCTCACTTTAAAAGTGCAGCGCTTTGAAGACTCTCGACGGCAGCCTTCCACCACCCCCCCACCCCGCCCCCCATCCCCCCCTCGGCTACACAGCCTGGGTGCCCGGACGGCGGAGGGCGCTTCCAGGCAGCGGGCGGGAGGGGAGCGGGGCAGGGCAACGCAGGGCAGGGCAGGGCAGGGCAGGGCAGGGCAGGGAGGCGAGCAGGCCTTACCAAATTGTCCAACTCTGGATTTGAAGAAAAAAGTGGTTTTTCGGCGCGGACCTGCAAGTATAAGAAAAAGCGGAGTGAATTGCAGCTTCTCTCCTCAGCCCTGTCACCGAATCACTCGAAGGGGGAGAAAAACCCCTGTGATCAAACCAGCCGGGACAGATCAGACCAAACCCCGGCTGGATTCCCTGGAGTCACCCGTGTGTGAGCAGGGCCAGCTCCGTTTCTGCCTGCCCTTGCCACAGGAGCCCCTTCTTCTTGATCTCCTGCCTTTCCCCCGCTCCCTCTGCCTCCAAAACAGTTCCATTTCCCCTTCTTTAACGCGGGAGAGCAAGGACCGGGACTCTCAGCCCGGCATTGTGGAGGAGCTCCCGGCGAAGGAGCGTCCGGGCCGGCAGCTCCCTCTGCCCCCACCCCGGCGGCCGGAGATAGGGCACAGGGGGCTGGGGAGGGATGAAAGCAGGGGGGATGCACCGTGCAAGTGGCCGGCCGTGCGGGTCGAGGGCCTGAGAAGGTGCGAGGGTGCTGGGAAGGGCCGGGCGGGGGGAGCGGTGCCGGACCTGCTTGGCGAAGACGGCGATGTCCTCGTTGAAGGAGTCGGAGGAGCAGACGTCCCCGCCGGCCACGCCGGGCTCCCGGGGCGTGCAGGTCGCCAGCTCGCACTTCTCAAAGACCAGAGCTAAGAGGGGGAACAACGGGTGCCTACCGGGCAGTGGCACACAAAGAGAGGGAAGGGGGTGGGGGAGAGGGGGGAAGAAGAGCTCTAATCAACAAGTATTTTTTTTTTCTGTTTGCTTTTAAAATGCACGGACATACAGACACGACGGACACACGGACGCAGCTACTCTGCAGCCTCTCTGTATCGCTTCGGGCCGGGCAGGGCAGGGGAGAACAACAGTTCGAAATAAAAATGCTAGGTTTGCTGGCGATGGAGGTTTGCGTTTGGTTTTATTTTCTTTTCCCCTTTTGAAACTGCAGTGCCTGAGCTACATCCCCCGTGCGGTCCCCACGGCTGAGGACAAAAGTGACCTCCCCTCCTAACGCACCAGGCACCAAACCCGCTCCCGCAGGCAACAGCTCAACTGGGAATCTTCCACTTTTTGCCACAGCTTAAAATAACACGAAACCTGGAAGATCCCATCCCTCCCCTCCAGCTATGACCTAAAATGAGAAGCACGGCTAGTCAAACTGCAAACTACTTAATACGTAATTTTATTTTTCAAGGGGCCTGCTAACAAAAATGTGGTGAAGTTTCCTGGCTTAGGAAGCACACCCAAGTAAAATACCAGCTGTCCAGATAAGTGAGCTGGGGAGGGGGCGGAGGGAGGGAGCACTTCGCGAAATATTTTCCCATAGTTGGTGTAGTCAGAAAAAAAAAAAAGTATCTGCCTGCTAAGTAGTAAGCATGCATTTTGTCTCTTTTCCCCTTTGGTGCCTGATCAAGGCCCCACGCTCCGTCATAGATGTTACTATCTCTCCCTTTAAGCTCATTTAGTTTTTTTTTTCTAAAAGGCACTGAAGAGAGTCGGTGTCATTGCCTCCAAGCAATGCCTGGCACAGGCTTGAGTTCTGCCGGGTACGTGCTTCTTTTTCCTCGCGTTCTTTCTTTCTTAAATAGAAAGCTCAGCTCATTGCCCCCAATGTGTTTATTTCTCCTGTCTCAGGGAAATGCTGCTTGCAAGAAGCGAACCCCTTTTATTCTTACTACCTTCTGCGATGTGAATAGCTCTTTATTTACAGTGTTGGAAGAGTGTTATTATGGCACGGAGGAGAACATCAGAACAACACTTCTCCAACTAAAACCCAGAGCAATGAGAGCCGCCTCTCCTATCTGAACTCTTAACTGGGGCCTTTCCGAGAAAGACAAAAAACACAAGGGGGGAAAGAAAGCAAGAGAGGAAAAAAAAAAAAGGGGGAGGGGGGAAGAAAAAAGTGGGGAAAAAAAAAAGAAAGACAAAGCAAGACAACGACACCTCCCCTCAGTCCAGCCTCCCTCCCCGAGAGGTCTGCTTTTCCAGGACGTATTCCCGCGGGTGCTGGCACCCCAGCTAAAAGCCAGTCTGGGATCGCACTCCTCCTGAAATTGCCGGCAGTGGCAGTGCCACCGCCACCGCGCGGGTCTCCCTGCGGAACAGACTGCTGGGGGCTACCCGCAGGACCGTCCCTCCCCCCCGCCCCGCTCCGGGGCTCGGTTGCCCGCCGCGGCCCCGCGGGAGCCCCCACCGCCCGCCCTGCTTCTGCCCCGCCGCTCCGCGGCCACCGGCGCTGCAGAGCCGGGCAGTGGCGCCGGGCGGCCCGGAGGTACCTACCCGTAGATCGCATCCTTGTCCCGCTTCAGGGCGTCGTTGACAGCAGAGCCCATGCTGGCCGGCATGACATTGGGGTGCGGGGCGTGCGCGCCGTAGTGCTGCCCGGCATGCAGCGGCGGGCCATGGTTGAGGTGGTGCACCGGGGGTATCGGCCGGGGGGCGTGGGGGTCCCCGTACATGGAAGCCGGCACCCCTACTCCGTCCATCCCGCCGTAGTGGGGCAGCTCATCGTACTGTCAAAAAACGGGCCGGAAGAGAAGAAAGAAAGAGAAAGAAGGGAAAAGAGAGGGAGAGGGAGAGGGAGAGAGAGAGAGAGGAATAAAAAAACAAACAAACAACAATAACAAAAGTCAGAGGAGAGTAAAGCACCCGGACAGACACAAACAGAGCAAAACAAAACAAGAACAGCCACAACAGAGAGAGAAATGTGCAAAATGAAATCAACTGGGACCGGGAGCAGAGGTTGGAGAGGCTGAGGGAGGAGTGGGGCTGCGGGGAGAGGTGAAGGGGGAATGTGTGTGTGTGTGAGCACCCTCCCGGGCGTGCGGGGGGAGCCGCTCCTCTTCGCCATGGGTAGGGGAGCCCTCGCAAGGAAACGGGGATGGAAAGGAAGGAAACGCAGGGGAAAAACTAGAGTTACTCTGCGTTAGAAAGGAAGAACAACAACAACAACAAAAAAGTAGAAATGAATAAACAAGCAGAATCGAAAACAACTATATAAATAAATCAACACTGGGAAGGAGAGAGGAAAGGTAGGGTGCATGGGGAAGGGGGAGATGAAGGGGGAAATAATCTGAAAGTTACCAGAAACATTATTTAGTAGCAATTCCCCTTGTCCTTGTCAAAGCCAGAGACAGAGAGAAAAAAAAAAAAAAAAAAAAAGAAGAAAGCAGCTATATGTGTATACATATATATACGTTCGTATATACACACACACACATATGTATTTCTCAGCCGTTCCTAGGCAGCGGAGGTAGCGGCGGCGGCAGCAGCACCAGCAGCAAGCTTTCCCCTGTGAAACCCGTGCTACTGAGCAGGCAGGGAGCAGGGAAATCGCGCTGCTGGGGGAAAAGCTAAGAGAGAAAAAAAGCGTGGAACAATTGCAGAGAGAGACACACACAGAGAGACACTCACGCACGCACACAAAAAGCTAGTGAATAATTTTTGCTGCTATTTTTTAATAGTGGCCGCCATCAGCAGCAGCAACAGAGGAGAGCAAATCGGACAGGCCCCTCTTAAGAGAGGATTTATATATAGGTAAGTGTTGGAGATTTAAACCTACCCTTTGCGCCATCAGTCTGCGCTCCAATAAACTCCTGGATGTGTCGTATATTTAATATCCCAGTCCAGCAAAGAAAGTGATTTAGAGTGAAGAAGATTCCTTTTTTTTTTTTTTTTTTTTTCCCGCAACCCACTTACAGACTTCTCCTATCCTCCAATATGGGTAAATAATAATAATAACAACAATAACAACAAGAATAGATAAAACAGTCAAGAACCACGATGAGTTTCTGTGTTTTCTTCTTTTTTCTCTCCCTTTCTCTCTTTCCTTTTTCTCTCTTTTTCCTTTTTTCTTTCTCTACGCGAAAAAAAAAATAATAAAAAATTGTCAAGCCCCCAAACTGAAGGTTACGATCGGCCCGTCAGCAACCCACATGTAACCAAACTGTCGTGTCTCATGGCTTTTTGCCACTCCAGCTGTCAATCAAAGCCAGGGAATGTCAAGGTAGTGAATGAATGATGGTTGATGATGATGAAGAAGAGAGGAGGAATCTTTTTAACCCCGGTTTCTTCTTCCAGTAACTCCGCGCTCGGGTTTTGCCTTTTAGAATCGCTATAGGCTTGGCTGGTTGGTTTGGTTTTTTTTTTTTTTTCTTTCTTTTTTTTTTTTTTTTTTTTTTTTTTTGAAGTACTGTGAAGGGGGGTGGGGAAAGATGCGAAGAAAAATGGAATAGTTTGCAAAGCGCGGACTTCCCCCTCTATCCTTTTTTTTTTTTTTTTCCTCCTTTCCTCCTCCTCCTCCCGGCAGGTATTTTGTCTCCCTCTCTCCCTCGCGCTCTGATGAGTGAGTGTCAGTAAGTGTTGGCAGGTTGGCTGCTGGCTGCCTTATAGAAGAGGCTCAGTTTTGCAGCGCTGATCGGCGGGAGAATGAAGTGACGGAACCCGGAAGTAGTGGTGGCCATAGCCAGTCCTGCAGCGCGGCGGCGGCGGCGGCGGGGAGCGGCGGCGGGGAGCGGCGGCGGCGGCGGCGGTGGCGGGGAGCGGCGGGCGCGGGGCGGCGGGCGCGGGGCGGCGGGGGCGCCCCAGCCAGCTGAGCGCCGGGGATGCGCAGCGCGCCGGCGGGGCGGCCGCGGCGCCGCGCGGGGGGAGCCGCGCAGCAGCCCCTGCCCCGAGAGAAGCAACGCGTGTAGGAAGGAGCGAGCGAGCGTGCGAGCGAGAGAGAGGGAGGGAAGGAGCGGGGAGGGAGGGAGGGAGCGGGGAGGGAGGGAGCGAGGGAGGGAGGGGAGGAAGGACAGGGAGAGTGCGTGTGTGCGAGAGGGGGGGAGAGGCAGGGGAAAACTGCAGAGAGCGAGAAGAAAAGTGCGATAGAAGGCCAGCCCCGGGTTGGTTTGCGCTAGATTATTTTAGTAACCAAATACTTTCCGATTGCCCGCGATGTTTAGCGGTCTGATTTACGCGCTGAATTATCGGTGTAAATCGCCGGCTGTCGCCGTTGCCGCGGAGGGAACGCGAGGCCGGGGGCACGGGGGGCTACGGGGCGCGGGGGGGGGGCGTCCCCGGGAGGCAAGCCCGCCCCGGCAGGGTGCCCGCAGCTCCGGCAGCGCCCGCGCTGCCAGAGGGGGTCCTGCCCGCTCACCATTCATTGTGCTTCTCTAAAAATTAATTTTCCAGGGCATGGAGAGAACGGCTCATTCAAACCGTGTTTGGCGCCGCTCTTCCTTAAGTGATCGCTGCGATCAAGCACGCTGTGGATGTAGGGGGAGAGAAGGGGGGGGGGGGGGGGGGGAAGGGGAAATCCCTTTTAGTTTTGAGATTAGGTTGCCAGGCTTTGAAAAGGGCTTAAAAACAAAGTCATGCTCAGCCTTTTGTGCGAGAGATCCAGATGTTATGTAGATTTTTTTTGTTTGCATGTTCATTTTGAGCGGACCAGGCTGTGAGCGCTGCGTTTACGTGTGCATGTAGCTGGACTTTGCCGTAGATCGACGTTGCGCTTGTGGAATGTCTGCTGAAGTATTAGCTCGGTAATGCCTTCTAATGGTAGTGCTAATTACGGTGGGGTTATTTAGCAAATTAAGTGAGCTGATGCACCCCTCACCCTTGAGCACCAAATGAACTTTTCCAAGCACACACTTACACAGAGAGACACGTTAATTTTGGTGTGTTTCTCTCCCCCAATCGTTTTGCCGGAGCTACCCCAGCCTTACCTCAGAGCAGTCAATTACTAAAGCTGGCCAGGATCATCAATCATGGGGGATGCTTGAAGTTTAGGGGAGGAGCGATGGTCAAACTATCGATTGCTGCAGTTTTGTCCTCCCCAGCCCCCCACCCTCGTTCACGGTCCCCTGCACATAAAATCTAAACCAGACTATCCCGTTAATAGTGGGATTTATCAATGATTATGTACCCGGTTATGAATGTGGCCTCATACATAGCTGGCTTTTAAAATACACGGAAGAAAAATATTATTTATTCGGTTAGGTTTTGGTTTATTTTGCTTTGATTTTCGTGGTGATGACGATGATTATATTTTTTTTTTTTTCCTGAAACTTTTAAGAAAATTACTCAAGGGGTAGTTACAGATATTTGGCCTGATTTTAATAGGCGTAGGGAATGAGCTCCAGAGGTCAATAAACCCCTCCAAAATGATGAATGATTGAGTACCTGTGATGATGATAGTGATTACCGGAGCAATTAAACAGTTTGATTAAATGAGCCATCATAACAATGATGTCTGCGGGAAATCAGCCCTCACGTATAAAGAAAGATAGTGTGAAGCGCTGACAAACGCCAGTGGGCATTCCTGCGTGTTCTGATAGCGCCGAGCCCTGCAGAGCAGAGCAGGGCTGTATTTACAAATATGGGGGCAATACCAAGAAAAGTCCTACTTTTAGCCAGAATTGCACCCTGCTTAAAACCAGCCAGGAGCTGGGGAGCAGACCCGGGTTTGGTTTTTTTTTTTTCCTTTTTTTTTTTTAATATCTTTTTTTCCAGAGGATCTCCTCCGAGATTAAAGCTAGTCCTAAGAGCAACCGAATTGCTGTGACTGACTTTCATGGGACTGTAAAGAGAGGTGAGTAAAAAAGCCCTTAGTATGTAGATCTCTTTCAAGCAGTGGTTAAGTCGATTCATTTTGCAGAGAAAAAGCCAGTCTTCTTGTGCAGTATTTTATACTCTGTCGTATAAATCGGTAACGTAATTCAAGATATTCATGGTAATGAATGCTTGGCTAATCCTTTGGGTGCACGGAGACCTGCAGAGCAGTAGGCTATGCAAATCCATTCCTACTTTTACAGCTGTAGTTTTCTAACAGTTTTTCTTTAAGAGATCTAGTCATCCATCGGTGAATGCTATTTGGTTTTTTTTTTTCCTTCTCCCCACCCCGCCCCAAAGATGCAGGGTTTCTAAACTTGTGTGGAATCACTTGGTTGGTATACAGCCCATACAGCCAGCTTAGAGGACATAGCTTAAATATTTGTAGCTTCCAAACTTATTTTTTTTAACCGAGGCAGTGCAAACCTGGAGCCTTGCCTCTTGAGATATGCAAGTGTGTCTCTTTTCAAATAGTTTTAGTATCACCAGAGAATAGGTCTTTACTTCTTTACTTGTAACATGGCCGTGCAAAAGTAATCTAGCTCCACTGAAGGCTCCATGTATTTATTCAGACCTCAAGCTGTGGGAGAAGTTCATCAGTTTTCCTTTCAAAAAGAAGTTTTTAGATTACTTGACTCCCATAGGAAAAAAAAAAAAAAAGCTCTCTTGTTTAGGATATAATCTTAGACCTGATTTTTGTTTATTTCATGATTCTCGTCAAAGTCTCTGTGGATCTCGGTTCTCTTGACTGAGAAATTGTTAGAAAGCAATCTAAAATCAAAGCTGCAAAAGAAGCAGCCAAAGATTTTTGCAGTGTTCAATGCTGCTCCTTTCACTTGTTTCTTTTTTTTGTTTTGTTTTGGTTTTTTTTATATTTCTTTCTTTTTCCTCCTAAACTAATTAACCCCCTGCGCTGGCTCGCCCTGCTGTGCATGTGTGTAATCTGGGACAGAGACCAACTTTAAAAAATTATTTTAACTTGTAGAAAAGTGTAATTTCATACGGTAAATAAAGGGCTTTCATGTTCCTCCTGTGTCCCTTTTTTTTTTTTTTTTTTCCCCGTGAAAAGAGTTGGAGCTTTTTTCTTCTTCACTATCCCAGTGGATTAAAGCACACAGAGAACATGGTTTATAAAGAGCTACAGTTTAGCCATTAAAAAGGAATCTCAATTTAGCGCCCTTAAGTGAAAGTGCTCAGCTATTAACAAAGATGCTTGTTGGGAACTCGGAGGAAAATGGGATACGTGCGTGCAGGGGGTGCGGGCTACTACAGTCTTAGGTCATTTTTTATTTACTTTTTTTCCCTTTTCCCCAGCCGGGTGATAAACTTCTTTTAAAACAGTAAATCGAGAAAATTAAATCGGCTATTTTCCATTCCTAGTGCATCAATTTCACAGCGAAGGCTGTTTCCAGGAAGAGTGCTGTAGACGAGTCGGTGGGGTCTCTTGTGTGTGTGCTTGGGCTTTTTTTTTGCCTTTCCCCTCCCGTTTTGTTTTTTTTTTAAGATAAGCTCAAAGTCCAAAGAGAAATGAGGTGTCCGGTATGGAAGTGCATCTCAGTCAACAGCCAGCTCCTTTTGCCGAGGCTGGAAATGGTTTTAACAGGCGGTAAAATTTCATCTTGTGGTGTCAAATTGGGGTCAGTTTGGGGTTAGCGCTCTCAGTGTCCGAGCAGGAGCTGTCCAGCTGTGTGGGGATTCATTAAGGGCAAAAGATCCGTTTCAAGAAAAACAATACAAAGACAATCAGAGGGCTAAAGATCCTCTTCAAATCGCATTTTACAAGTGCACCAGAACAAATATGGATGCTGAAACCTATTCCCTTCAAACTCCTAAATCGGCTTCTTAGCCCTTGGAGGGAGGGAGAGAGAAAATCCTCTAAAACTTAAGAAGAGTCTGTTTTCAATCAGCCTTTCCGAAGTGTGGCATCTTAGTCCTTTGCTGGCTTTGAGACGTGACTCCCTCTCTCCCTCCCTCTCTTTTTCCACATCCTTGCAAAAGCGGATGGCACAACAGGTAATATTTCAGATTTCAGGAATATATGCCGCCGGGGACCTTGGACCGCCGTTTGGTACGCGCGTCTGTACCTAGTGCAAAATTTAGTGCAAATAGAAAGTTTCGTGTGTTTTTTGTTTTTTTTTTTTTTTTTTTCCGGGGGGGGGGTGTGGGTAGGGTGGGGAGTGAGGAACAAGCCATGCTCACAGGAAATCCTGTTGGCCCCCTTCGAAAATTTTCTGCACTCCTTGTAGGTGATGCTCCGGTCTTTCGGGCGATTTAGGCTAGATGTACTTTACGGTTCCTAGCATTTGTGGAAAGCACCTATTGCTAATCTGGTTTATTAAATTCGCGTGGTTTAAATCCTCTTAGCGCCCCTACATCTGTTAGAACAATTGACGCCTTGCTACAGGGACAAATAACTTGAACCTTAATCTTGTTTGTAACTTTATTCAATGTTTGTTTGTTTGTGCGCTGAGTTCAAGCATTTCGGGGGGAATGCATTGTGTTCGCAAACACAGGGGCTACGTTTTCTGGCCAAGCTCCCCGTGGACGGGCTGAGGATATCGCCGAACGGGACGACAAATTGTACATATTTGAACCGGCGTTTCATCGTGAACTATCGTTCTAGGAAACGTGTCATTTACTGAAGAAAGTAATTTGCCTTTTAAAATGTGGCTGCGGGATTACATCACCGTGACCCCGTAGTAAAATCCACGGGGATTTTCCTTCTTGTTTTGCTCGCAGGGCGAAGTGTGGGGTGTAAACAGTACCTTTGCCTTTCTGCAATTAGGATTATGCCAGGGTTCAAAGTCCTACCCCCAAATTCGTTCTTTACCCCACTTTCCTCTGCCTTTACGCTTGGTTCTTACAACTTGAGTCACTTTTTATGCGTTTTAACCAAGTTGAGTTCTCGACTTCAGGACTTCTGAGGTGCCATCTCGGGTGCCCCAGGGCAATCCCGCAGTCTCGGTTGTGCAGGTCGCTGGGTTAGGTCTGCATCCGCCTCGGTCCGCTAAACAACCGCCCCCCCCCCCCCCCCGCCCCCCTGATAGTGTACGTCGCTTTTCATTCATCTATAATTTTTCTAAAATCTTTCAATTCAGTCCGTAAAGTCCGTGGTAGCCCATCACGGTGAACTTTTCTTGACCTCGACTGCGGTGTGACTGAGGTCTTCGGGAGCTGGATTAGGAGGAGATTCATGGATTTACCTGCTAACTTCCTTTTTAACTGTCTTTCTTCCCCCCTTCCCTCTTCTTTTAAAGAAAAAAAAAAAGAACTGTCCTCAACTCCCCCACGAAGCAGGAGCGATGCGCGGTCCACCTGCCCCTGCCCCGCCGTGTCCCCTCTGGGTGCGGAGCTCAGACCGCCGCTGCCGGGTTCCCGGCGGGATGCGGCGGTGCCACCGGCAGCCCTCTAGCGCTACCTGGCGGGCCTCCAGCACCATCCCGCTGCCGCGCAAGGCCCCGGCCCCCGCGCGGCAGAGGGGGTGCGGAGCGGTGCTGATCAGTGCGGAGCACTGTGGAACGCTTTGCTTCTCAGCCTCCCGCGGGGCTCCGGGCGCTGCCCCCTCCCCGCATCCCATCGAGCGAGCGGGCTGCGGGGCCGCGGCGAGAAAGGGAACAGAGGGACCCCTTCGCCTTGGGCCGAGTTATCTCACGCTGGTGCGCGTGAAGAGCTGATACCAGACCAGAACGCGGCTTTTTTTTTATTATGTCTTAGGCTTGGAGGTTTGTAGAAGTGAAGCCCATAAACAGCCAACGCGCCTGTTTCCATAATAAACGAGGGAGAGTAAAATACCTGCCAGGGCTCCCCACTAACGCTATGTGGCTGCTTCAACTGGGGCAGCTAAAAACCTAGTTTGCATTTGCTGGAAGAAGCCCAAAGCATTAACAAAATCCATCTTTCCAATGTGACATCCTAACAAAAAGGACAGTTAGAGCAAAGTAAATCGCTTTAGTGTGGTATCAGACCATCCACGAAGGCTCCAAACTCCTCTCAGAGCTCTGTTCTTGCACACTCAAAATATTCCCTTTTGTTCTCCAGCTGCCTATAAAACTCCAGAAGAGGAGAGCTCTCCTTTTTACGCAGGAATTCTTGGTCCGGAGAGAACAATATCCTCCTACCTCCTTTTGAAATGATACGGAGACCCTCACAACACACGGGCGAGCACTCCAAGTAGGAGTCTCCCTCTTTTTTGTTTTTTTTCCCCCGATTTTTTTCCCCAAAGAGCTGCTCGGCCCATTGTTTGAAGTGGGATTTAGCACGCAGCCCAAAGGGAAGAAAAAAAAAATAAATAAAATCTAAGGAGCCCCGTTTGGTATTGCACGGAGAAAGAGCTGACAAAATATTACAGCTTGTCTCCTAGAAGGACGTGAGACGTGATGGGAGCTGGCGGTGTGTTTCCGAAAGAAAGGTTTTTTTTATGTTTGGGTGGTGTTTTTTTTTTTTGTCCCCCCCCCCCCCCCAAGATTGTGATCGCCTTTGTACGTCTTTCTTTTGATCCCACAAAGAGAATGCCATATCCATATATGTGTTTGCTCTCCGTACAAGAAATGCAAAGGACCGCACAATAGAATATGCGGCCGGTTAGTCCTCATAATGCTTAGTTTTGCTGTAATTAATTGAAAACAGTTATTAGGTCGTCATTGGCAATAGCATAAATAATTGCCGCAGATTTTTACTTAAAATTGACCGGTCACAGAGTGATAGATCGATTCGAGGTATAAAAATGATGTATCAAAACATCAATGTCGATTATTTGAAATATTGTAGTCAAATCTTTTTATTGCTTCATCGGTTAAGTGTCTGAAAGTGCTGTGTTCCAACATATATTTATGTTGTCAATACTGTCAAAACTGTCAGTTTTATTACAGTGGATTTGTAATACCATTTCGGATTTGCTCATTTACATAAAATGTCCACCCCAGATACCCCTCCTTTTCTCCATCTCTGAAAATCTATGTCAGTTTAATGAAAGGATTCAGAGACTCATGCCTGAAGAAAAAAAAAAAAAAAAAAGAAATAGAAGAAAGAAAAGAAAAGAAAAAGGGAGATATTGCTCCATTAAGTCCAACTTAAACCTCCCTTTGGAAAGCTTGGGCTAGTTCTAACCTGCCATAAGAGGGAATTCCCTCCCTCCCCCGTCCCTCCCCCCTTTATTTCCTCAGTAGGATTTAAACACTTTTCATACCCTCACACCTAGATGAAACCCTTCGGGAGGATTGAGGACCCGTGCGGGGAGACAGCCGAACCCCAGCACACCTGTGAGTGCGGAACCCTCCCAGAGAGCCGCAGCGCACACGTGGAGCTTCGTCCCTCTAGAAAGGAGACAAAAGCAGCAGTAAACGTGTGTGTGATCCTTTCTTAACGGGTTTAAGCCCAAAGGAAAAAGCAAATTGGACGCAGTATTGATCATTTGATGTGACACCCCCCCCCCCCCCGGCTCCCATTTTATCAGGGTCTGATTATTCGCTTTAACTATAAGCGCTGATTTGTTATTAGCTGGGCTTAGGCACCTCTCTAATTTTCTCCAAGACCTCATTTGAAGGATAGAAAAACTGAGGAATAAATAAATCCATTTACACTCTAAACACTCTCCCATCGAGCAAACAGTGAAATTGGAAAAGTAACTTTACTCCCCACCCCTGTCGGGAGGATGAGGGTATTTTAAAGGCGTTGGTAAGGTGGACCTGAGGTGTGTGTGTGTGGGGGGAGGGGCTGTCTTCTTCCTTCCTTCCTTTTTTTTTTTCCTTTCCCCAAGGGATATGTGTGTTTAAAGAGATGTTGAAGAGATTTCTGAGTTCACAAGAAAGGAGAGGTCTGTTTGGGGAATGACAGCGCACCCGGCAGGTATTTTCATGACCGTCCCTTCCTTTAAATCCTTCGAATTTCTTTGGTTCTTTCCATGCAGAATATCTTCCCCAGACCAAGTATGATTTCTGTTGTAATTCGTGTGTGTGTATTTGTGAACCCTTCTGAGGTAAATTGAGAAGTAAGCTGCGCAAAAGGAGGAAATCGCCCCTGGGGTGCTTTGTTTACTTTGGTTTGTAAAATCCTGCTAGGAGATGGTTTCCTCAGTGTGTGGCAAGTGTTTCTTCAAGAAATTCATCAGCCCTTCTACAGTTACTTCGAGCTCTGAGGGAAGAGAGCTGCCATCACTTTCTCACATCCCAAGGTGTTGCATGGAGGAGAGAAGAAAAGGCTGGAGCATTTAATTGGGGGGGGGGGGGGGAGAGAGAGAAGGTTGAGGGATAGAGGAGGCTGCAGAAAGCGGTTCCCAGCCTGTACCTGGAAAAGAAAAACCTGCAAGGGTGTATCTGGGAGATGTGTGCCACTGAGAGATGGGGAAAGTACCCCATCTCGTGCAGTAATTAGTCTGAACAATAAACATAATTGGAATAAAATCAGTTGGAAATTCCTGCGTTTTTAATTACGTTTCATTTTGTGGTAAGCCGTAAAATTATGAATGCCTCTCAATTAAACACTATCCACTTGTAAAGCATTTAACAACAATTACTCCTTAATCAGTTGGAATGTTAGCCACAAATGATGCTGTTAAACATCAAAGGGACGCCTTAGACGTTACCTTTTAGTCATAAGTAAGAGGATTAATTTCTATAATTAGAGGGGATAAATATGTGCATAAATAAATCTATTTTTTTACACGTTCTCATCCTACCCGGGAGAGGCGAGGGTCCTTGACATCGCCGGCACTTCTGGCTCTCCTCCGGCTCAGAGGAGGCAACCCAGTCTCAGAGAGGTGAGAACACCTCTCCGGGGAGGCTTGATTCTGCAGGTCGCTCCGCGCCTCTTTGCGCCTCTCTGCGGGCACCGGTAAGGCAAGCGTTCCTGCCGCCGCAGACGGGCTGGGGCTCGGGCCCGCCGCAGGCACGGGGCTTCGGGAGGAATACGCTGGGCTCCTTGGCATGTATTTACCTTTTCTTGCGGCACCTGGGGTCTACCTGGTGGTTCGGCTCCCTCGGGAACAATTTGCCGCCCCAAACGAAGCTCTAGATTTGAGCTGAATACCGCAAATAAAATTAACATGACCTTGATTACACCCTGCAGGAATATCTCATTTACCTAATGACTTTATGTCACGTACGCAGAGGGTCAATTTCCTTTTAACCTTTCCCATCGCTGCAGTAAGCATTCTTTTATAATCAATGGTTGTTTGAATAATCAATTCACGTTTTATGATCCCTGACAAACTCAATATCTGTGTGCCTCGTTTCAGCAAAGCAGCAAGCTCTTCTCCGCGCCGTTTTCACGTCCGAAGAGTTTGAGGCGGGCTTTCCCGGCTCCCCGGGGAGCCTCCCCGGGCCTCGCAGGGCAGCAGCGACCGGGATCTCCTGGGGACTGCGCCTCCCGCCCCGCTCCGCCGCCGTGGAGGCTCCGTGCATAGGCACTGCCCCCACGGGAGGATGCGCCTCAGCACGAAGGCGCAGGCTTGAGGAGGCGCGGCGCCGACCGGCAGCCCTTCGCATCTCTCCAGAGCTGGACATGCACTTTCCAATCGCTGGGCGCAAAATATGAGGTTTTCCCACTTCCCCCACTTCCCGTCCCTCCTGGTCTCCATCCTGGGAATGTGCAGCAAGAGCCCGAGAGCCAGGAACTGTTCCCCCTTTCTGCATTTGCCGGGGCAAGCGGACGTGGGGGAACGAAGTTCCCCCTGCTCTGAAGGCGGAGGCCGCCTCCCTAAAGGCTTGTGGGGAAGAGCTGTGTCCGATGCCGCACCGGCACACGGGGAGACCTTGAATGAGTCTTGGCGTTAGAGTAACTGTCACGCTGATTGAGGTCCACGATTCCCTCACGCCCACCAGCCCCAGCCCCTTTGTCACCTCTCCCAGCCGCCTCCAAACTGAGGGTCGGGAAACTTGCCCCCCCCCCCCCCCCCGCACCACTCGAGTGCAGCAGTGTACACGGGAGGGGAAGGGGTTGAAGCTGAACTTTGCAAATGTTTTTTCTATAAGTAGCTCACATTTGGTGTGATCTATGGTGTGAGTCAGGAACAGAGACTTATTGCAACCCTGTTCCCTCTATTGGATAATTAATGCTGATTCATAGCGGTTTCTACCTACGAATATGTGTTTCGTTTTTCTCTGCCGGGTCCATGGTTCTTTGGTATGTTGTTATTCCCTGAAAGGTAATTGCACTTGATATTCTCTCGGGGAAGTCTCATTAGCCAAGGGTAGGGTGGCGTTGCCAATCTCAGATTCTTTCAACAATTCAATGCAAACGTTTGCCCCAAAGGTTTAGTACAGCACTCCCAGCTCCCAGAACAGCCCTTGGATAAAGCATTTCCCCTAAGTAGCCTTAGGTCTAAAAAGAAGTACATATATATATATGTGTGTGTATATATACATATGAAATATATATATATTTTCCTACCCAAGCAGGATACATATTAATTTAGGTTTTTCTTAGTTTAACCCCTCACTGTAAGTGATCTAAGCTACACAAGAAAACTAAACATGTTGCCTTGGACTGCAGGACTTTGCAGGACACAATCATGGATGAAGGATTAGAAAAGGCACCACATCTCCTTCTCCTATATATGCATTCCTCTACACTGTTATAAGATTTACAAAATGCATGTTGAAAACACTTTTCCACTGCCCACCATTGCAGACCTACACTTGCCTTCTTTCTCACACATGCCTGCTGTCATCTCTTGGGCTCCTTTCATCTCTCCTGCTAAATTAATTACCTCACTAATGCAAGGCAATGAGACTCGGGTATAACGTAAGTCAGGGAAAATACATTACTTGATATGTATTACTGTATGAAGGTGAATCCTCCATGATTATTCTCACTTTATTTTTCTCTCTCTGTTGTTCATAATTTTGAAAATCTTATTCCATTTGGGTCTTGGTAGGTTGAACAGGATGATTCACAGTAGCATTGCAGAGAAGAGCTGTTTCTCAAGGGAGAAAATGGTTCCTACAGGACTGATGAAGAGGAAGCAGAGGGACAACACTAGTCATAACATGTTCTTGGACATCACCAGGTTTTCCATGTTAGAATAAAAAAATCTCGGTATCTGCATTCATGGTGAATTAGATGGTATATTCTCCCTGGTAATGGTGTTAAAGGGCAGAGGCTGCTCTGAATTCTAAACAACAAACCCTGGGTCTAAATTGTATATCTAACTGTCTTACTGTGTTTACATATTTCCACTCACCATGTTTTTCCCATCACAGTTAGCCAATAAACTCAAACAGCAAATCTCATCTGTGCTGTAGCACCACTGACTGTAATGTTGGTACATTAGAAAGGAAATTGTCCTATATCCTGACGCTGCGTAACAAAGTAGGTCCAAAACTCTAGACCCTGAGATGCTACCAGTTTTAATCCTTGCTCATAAGAAAGGCTGCCAGGGTCTATAGGCCTCATCTATTAGGGGGACCAAAAGTTCATAGAAAAACAGCTCAGTGCTGTGAATCTCTGTTAACAATGTTTTATATGCTGACAGCCTTCAACATCTTCAAGCCCAAATCTCTGTCCCAAGGTCCCATTTGACTGAAGGAGAATGTGAGCTAAGGACACAGGGTGGGATTCTGCAGGGTAGTTTTGCAGGATGCCAAGTCTGCCTGTGCGAAGTAGACAGCTTTCCAGGTCCTACTGATAGTAATTGTGAGCAGTCACAACCCTTGCAGTAAGCTCTCAGCACAAGAAAACATTAGTTCTTTAATTCATACTTTTGTGATTCACAGCTATGGGTTTTTTTTGACACTTTAAGTATCTCTCATGTCATGGTGGTACATTCTGCTTTTTCAAAAGTGTTTTTCAAAATGAACAGGCTTTTCAGTAATGAAACATGATCAAGTTACTCTTCTAATAGATTTCTTTTTTAAAGTACATGCTAAATTTAAAACGCCTCATGCATTTATAAACCATCACTAATAGTTCTATTGATCAATGAGATAAATAGCTCTAGGAGAAGCTTTTTTTTTTTTTTTTTAGGAGATAAACATAAACAGCATTGAAAAAATAACACACAAGTCATTGTCTTGTACTCTTACCTTGAGGCTGTATTACGATCACAGTAAGACATATCTAGGCATGTGTCATACTGGATAACACTATTTCTTGGGTGCATGAGGGCACATGACTTTACCTTGGACTTCACAACAGCTGAGACATGCCATTTAAAAACATGGTCCTGGAATTACTAACCTACTAATATATAATTATTAATGTATATATGAGATACTTTTAAATTTTTTTTTCACATTAAATACTTGTACCATTTTATTTCTATTATTCATGTGCAAAGCTAAAAATAAACATTTGCAATATTTTTCTCTTTTATGGAAGAGCTGAAAAAACTGTTCATTTGAAATGAACTCTTGGATGAACGCAGCCATATTTTCTGGGCTTGGATCTCTTATTCCCAGTTGGGAACCCCACATCAGATCTGGGCAGTGCAATTGGTCCTCAGAGGTAGAGCTCTCTTTACTTCAAAATATTCACCAAGAATAGCTTAGGCAAACAGTTTCCAGCCTAAGAATCATTCACAATATGTTCAGCTGGGCTTTTCATTTCATTACTCTTGAAGTGTCAATGGTCACTTATCACACTTGCTCTATTTCCCAACAGGCTGGTTGAAGACTTTTAAACAGGAGACTAAATGAATAATAAAAGTGCCCGAGAAATATCTGTGTCTGTGCCAGCATGCTTTTGTTTTGTACAGGTATTCATCCAAAGCCTCATTCTGGCTCCGAATGAGCAGGATTCAATCCATAAAGGAAATGTATTCACCTAATACTTGTTCAAAGAAAAATCCTGCTTCCTTTAATGTTCACGTATATGATCATAAACATGATCAAAACATGAGCCATCTGAACCCCCTAGAGCTGCCTTGTAAATAGGGTTGCAGTATGAACCCAAGAACATAACTGGTTTTGTCACTCTAGGTTAATTTCAGCTATCAAACACCACAGAAAATCATCAATTGCCTTTCTTCTCCCCACTGGTTTAACTTCAGATCACTTCCCCTGGCAAATGGCTTTTGATACTCAAGTAAGATCATAAGCGCATTTTTTTTTTACTGTTGTTTCCAGACTTCATTTGTTGAAGAAGGTCCTGTCGGCAGCCAATATGTTCCTGGTAACTGTTTGTTCCTGAAATAAACATCTAGCACAATTCTTAGTATTTGGGAGAGGCATTGCTTTCATTACATAATCTTCCATGCAAGGGAAAAAACAATGCAAAGAAAGACCT